TGACACAGTATAGTTCAGTTTTCAAAAGCCTCCTACTGAAGTCTCTTGCCAAAATTATGAAGAACTGCTGAAGGGCTTTACAAAACTGTATGACTGGCCACAAATTAGCAGATGAAGCTCAGAGTAAATAAAGGTAAAAGCGCTCATGAGGGAAAAGGACCTTAAATTCAAATGTACAATATCACAATGATATGCACTGAGCTGATCATTACAGTCAGTCATTATGGATGTTCTGCAAAAACATCAACCCTGTGCTCAGTTTGGGTCAAAATAAAGCAAATCAGACTTTATGAATTCTTAGGGAAGGGACAGAGAACAGAACAAAGAATTCTTTGATAAATCTATGTATAAATCTATGGCTTGAATCTATGTATAAATCTATGGCTTGGAACACCAGCTGCAGCCTTGGTCCCTTCTTCCTAAGCAGGATATGGCACGACACAAGAGGTTAAAGATAACCAAGGACGACCAAAGGAATACATACAAAATATTCCCTTTGTATGATGAACAAAGGATAAACCAGGATCGCACTCTGAAAAAGAGGTAACTTGGAGTATGATAGAGATCAAGCACATCATAAGTGACATGGAGAAAATGGGTGGGCTTTGAATGTTTACTCTCTGCCAGTACAAGAACAACAGGATACCAAATAAAGCCACTAGAAACCAGGTTCAAAACAAGCAGAGATAATCCTTTGCATGACAGAGAGCTCGTTGCTAAAGATGCTGTAAGTTAATTTGGATTCGAAGGGGCATGGAGCAAACTTTGAAGATCAATCCACTTAAGCTCACTAAATACTCAAAAGCTCCATCTGGCTCAAGAAATCTCTAAACTAACTGAACACAGGTAGTATATTAGAGGGAGCATATGAGTTTCCTTTTCCCTCTTGCATGGTTCTTACCTTTCTCCCTGCTAGCAACAGAATTAGGCTAAAGGAAAGGGGAAGCATAGTCTCATCATCAGCCTTTAAGCTTTTTCAGAATTATAATCTCCCTACAGTGCCTGAAGCATGGAATCCAGCAGGTATATTAAAAGAAGGTGCCGCAGCACATTTTTCACCTATTCAATAGGTCTCAGCCCATAGGCCTCTGGTTACTGCTGTGTGCCCTAATTAGGCTGTGCTGTTAACAGTCTGCAAATGTCCAAGGTCTGTCCAGATGCTAAACAGTCACAATACAAAATAAGAAAGGGGAAAGGGGGTAGAAGTGCCTTTTTCTTTTCAGCAGAACTTCATTAGAGTGCACCAGAATGGGTTCTAGATTCAGCACATTGTCTTGGGACAATCCATCTTGGGACTACCGCTGGATGTGTTTAGATGTGGTGTTGGGGGATATGGTTTAGGGGTGAGCTTTGTAGAGGAGAGTTAATGATTGGACTCGGTGATCCCAAGGGACTTTTCCAGCCTGAATGATTCTATGATTCTATGACATTAACACACAAATATCATGTGCAGAGAATCATTCTAATCCATACGTGTTTATGTAAATCCTGTCAAACACAAGTGTTTAGATAATCAAAAGTTCTTTTAATAAACCTGATTATTTTCGTTAAGTGCTCTGAACAGCAGTGATACACACAAAATAGTTATATCCTGCTGCATACTGTAAGTCTTACTACTTCATGTACTTATGCATCTAGGTCTAACAAAAAATCTTATTTAAGAAACATTATAGGACTGCACTATGGGAAGTCTAGTGACACTGCCAGTAATTAAGGTTGTGCAACAGTTCTTTTTATATTTTCAGTTTGGGCTGAAATTTATTGCATTGATTTGCTCTGCTGTACATAGGTTCATTTTTTTCCGTGCATAATCTGTGACGTTCCCAGAGATGACACTAAGGAAAGTGCATCATTTTACCTGCATTATAAAATTCACTGTCCCTTTATTGACCACCTCACACATTTCTATGCTTTGAAGCAGAGATCAAAAGCATGGCAGAGTCTAACCTGTGTGTAAGGAGAGTCTTCAGATTCTCTGTGAAATTCTACTTCAGTTTGGTCAAATTAGACAGTTCTTACTGGCTAAAAACTCTCAGTCAAAGAGGAAAACTATTCTCAAATATCATTCCATCTGTTTTAAGAACATCATCTACTTTCATATCAACTTACAGCTCAGTTATTCTAGCACTGCCTTTTAGCTTAAATAGCACTATCCATTACCTGAAGATTACCGTCCTGTACTCAGAGTTCTGTCATATCCCTCATACCTCGTTCAGAGCCCTTCCTTTCAAAGTACAGTTTATACATTTTTGCTCATCTAGTTCAAACCAATTTTCTAGCACACCTGTGGCCTGAGCAAAGCTGATTAGGATTATATAAAATATTGTACAGAATCTTCTACAATTAGTTAGACATTTCCCTATATCACAGACTGTAAGAATCACTGAAGTGGAAAGGGACCTCTAGAGATTGCTTTCTCCAACCCAACTGCTCAGGTAGGGTCAGACAGAGCGTATTGCTTTGAACCATGCCCAGACAGATTTTGAATATCTCCACGGGTGGATACTCGACAACCTCTCTGGGCAGCCTGTTCATTGTTTGACCATCCTCATAGTAAAAAAAGGTTTTTCCCTTGTTTCAGTTCGGGCCCAGTGCTTCTTGTTCTGTTACTGGACACCAGTGAGAAGAGTCTGGCTCCATCTGCTTTGCATCCTCCCATCGGGTATCTACACATATTAGTAAGATCCTCCTGAGACTTCTCCAGGCTGAACAGAGCCAGCTCTTTCTGCACTTTAGATGATCCGGTCCCTTAATCATCTTTGTGGCCCTTTGCTGGACCAGTTCCAGTATGTCCAGGCTCTGAAATATCCATCGAAGCACATGAGCATCTTGGCTCAATTACATCTGCATTAAAAGTATCAGTTCATAATCATCCAACTAAAAACTAATATATTGATGTATGCCCTTATATACCTAAACATACTTAAGCATATCCAAGATGAAGTTTACTTAGGTTGCTTTCAGACAGGGAGAGCTCAGTTTATAGCAACGAGTGACAATATTTTTTAGTAAGTACTTGAACTTTCAGTTTATACAATGAAAATTCAGTTTTACAGTTCAGTAAACTGTACAGTCCATTTACTACAGACTTTATGCTTTAGGGAGTTTAATCTTCTCCAATTTAGTTAATATTTTTTCTGTGATTTCCCCTCAAATGCTTCAATTCAACCAGTTGAGCCTTCTTTGTCTGGAAAATCTGTTATCAAGGAAATAATTAGATTAACGTGGTACAACCAAATTTTGGTAGAACAGTGTTTCATTTTAATTAGTTTTCTCTTCACCATCTAGTTTTTAATTCCTGTTTCCTTCAAAATATGGTCTAAAGCTGAATTCAGACTATAGTACCATTTACTATTTTCCTTTTCAAATAACAGATACTGTCTTTGCCAGTATATAAGAAAAATATTTACAACTTGACAGATGATAAAAATATTGGGTTTGGAATCTCAAGTAAAACTTCTCTCAAATTATTTCATCATCCTAATTTAAATACACTCAGCTGTAAGTTTTAATTTCATCTTCGGTCATTGCCACGTCCACAGTTATTCTTTTCAGCTATCCTGCCTGTCTCACAAACCACTATTGAAAACACAGGCAAAAAAAGTTTTTTAAGTCATACCTAAACTGTTTCCAGCAACATCTTCACTTGCAGAAACTTAACCTAAGTAACCATGTCTGATTTGCAGATGAAGTGAAAACTTAAAATTGCTACTTATACCTCAGGTTTAGATACATATATTTAAAATGCTTTATAATGTTAAGTGTTGAGAAAAATAAGGTCTCAAAAGTCTTTAAATTCTACTATTTTTTATCCTACCCATGATCTCTAAAATAGAAATAATACTGACCCATTTTGAAGTGGTGTCATATATTAAATCACCAGAAGACTTACAAGGAAATTAATGACCTTAATATAGGTCTCTATAATACTTTCATAGCAACAGTTAAAATAAGGGCTTTACTATACACTACACAATGATGACAAAACATGGAATAGTTGTTCATCAGTTATAGATCTTGTATTTTGTGCCTGAAGATTTTATAAGAAATATTTTACAATCATGTTATTACAATTCTATCATAAACTATACACACACAATAAAGTTAAATTAAGAATGAAATAGCAGTTCTTAATGCTGTTCTTACAAATTTTGCAATCTTTCTATTTTTCCCTTGATATTCAGTATTTATATGGTAAACACATCACTGAAAAAGTAATTAAAAACATCTTTCTCATTAACAGTAAGGCATGAAGTATAACCATCTATGCATACTTTCCTTTTGATTTCCTAAAGTACAGTTTCACAGCTGAGAGAATACTTTAATGTCAATGGAGAAAACACATTGTTTCCCAGGCCACATGTTAGAACATGTGACAGTAAACATTGTTTGACACAGTTAAGAATGTTGTGATATGTGCCATCAAGCATCTAACTGGCTGACAAAAAAAAAAAATCTTTCCTCATCCTCAGAGAAAGCAGTATTCCAAAAATAAACAAAAAGAGGAAGGCAAGCAACATTTATGGAATAAACACAACACACTATTTTTTTAAAAATATCTTCAGAACTTCCTCTTGACTTTCAGCTGAAAAAAGATACAGTCACCAAGAATTTATTTCAAACTGCTCTGTCTAGTTTCCCTCTTTGCTTCCTGGGTCAAACAAGTAGGAAAAAAAAAATTGCCACCAAAACACTAAGATATCCAGATGATGAAGTTCAGTTCTCCAGGAAAGTGTTCAGATCATGCGGCAACCAATAACAGAAGACATTATTTTTTAGACAATTTTGTGGTGACTTAAAGTTGGCCCTTCAAAGAAAAATCGTTTTGGATATAAGAATAATATATTTTGTCTAGCAAAGGATCTATAAGAAGCAATCTACATTCAGACTAAATTACAGAATCATAGAATGGCCTAGGCTGGAAGGGACCTCAGAGATCATTTAATCCAACCTCCCTGCCATGGGCAGGGACGCCTCTCAACTAGATCAGGCAACACATGGGGACTGAACGGGGATCAAACCCGCGACCTTGGTGTTGTCAGCACCACGCTCTAACCGACTGAGCTAACCAGCCCCCTAAAGACAGTTAAATTGTGGCATCAAATGTAGTTAATACTGATTGCCTTCAGGGACAAAAGACATGCACAATCACCACAGGTCAGAGTTTGCATGCTAGAAGCCCCTTCTGTGCCAATATGACCAATAAAATCATACACAAATCATTTCTACACAGATCAGCAGAGAAAATCTCCCTAGTCTTATGTAATGGTTTCACGTCAAAACCCTTCCACAACCATTTCTCCAGTCATTGCTACAATCATCAGCCTAGGACTTGACTCATATAATCAGAACAGTTTTGATTGGAGGAGACCTTCACAGTTGAGTGTGACCTTTGTCCAGGCTTTATCAACACCACTAAACTATGTCCCTCAGTACAACATCTGCCCATCTCTTAAACACCTCCAGGGATGGCGACTCAACCACCTCACTGGGCAGCCTGTTCCAATGCCTGACAATCCTTTCAGTAAAGAAATTCTTCCTAATATCCAAACTGAACCTCCCCTGGCACAACTTAATGTCGTTTCCCCTCATCCTATCACTCACCACTGAGGAGAACAGACCAACCCCTGCCTCGCTACACCCTCCTTTCAGGCGGTTGTAAAGAGCAAGGTCTCCCCTCAGTCTTCTCTTCTCCAGGCTAAACAGCCCCAGATCCCTCAGCCTTTCCTCATACGACTTGTGTTCTAAGCCCTTTACCAGCTTGGCAGCCCACCTCTGTACCCTCTCCAGCACCTCAATGTCCCTCTTATAGTGAGGGGCCCAAAACTGGACACAGCACTCAAGCTGAGGCCTCACCAAAGCTGAGTACAGGGGAATGATCACTGCTCATAGAAGTGTTATGCTTTCACTTTTCTTTTAAAAAAGATTAAAAAAGAAAAAAAAGGAGACTAAAAGCAAACCCTTATGTGAAGAAAATTTTGTTTGTTGAACTTACAAATGCAGTGAGCAACACTGGCCATATCCCTCTTGCTGCCTATTTTAAATCTGCAATGCCATGGTCAGCACTCTCCTACATGCTGAGGGGCCCATGGTCTTCAATGGAATTTTAGGTTGCCTGTCTGACCCAGAGCACAAGGTGGGATTTTGACAATGTGTTCTTTTCATAATGCCTATTTTCCAACTCACAATGGTCTTGGCCTTCCATTTCCTGCTAGCTCCTTCCTAAAACTAAGCCACTACCACAGTGAGACCAGAAGAACTCTTGGCAGGTTGTTCTTCTGATCCAAGATTAAAATGAACACATGCACACAGGTCACAAATTTAACTCATTTTTTTTTCAGATCTGTTCCCTGACCTGGATTACAGTACAGTTTAATAGACAGTGGAGCTTGTTCTACAGAGCGGGTAACTTTCTGAGAACAATCAGCAGGAGGACAGGTATGTCTCAAGTCACCATTTCTAGCAAACTCTTCATAACGTGAGACTACTGCCTTACCTATTTTCATGCTTTATCAACATTCATGTACTGTGCCCATACTCTTTTTGGTTGTAGTCCATTCATTTTTAAAAGAGTAAGTTAATTTTAGTATGTGAAAAGAAAGTAATAAAAAAAAAATTTTTTAATAAGAAATTTTAAAGTTAACTTCAAATTGCTCCACACCTAAAATTGTTTTCAAAGGCATGTGAACAACATGTAAGTCTGTCGAGATCCCTTGGAAAAAAACCTCAAAACATTGCCAAAAGCTCTGTGTATATACATACATACACACACGCACAACTGTATACACACAATGAATGTCTGCAAAACCTGTTCATGTGCTGCCTTGAAGACAGGATGAAATATTCATTTAATCTTGCATTTCTGGCAGTGGGATATAAGGAAATTATTATTTTTATGGCTGCCTTTTCAAACCGGTAAGTAAGATAATGTATCATATCAGGACAAGAAATCAGAAATTATAACAAAAAGGTAATTAAAACCTAGAAGTCTAGGATTTAATTTGTACAGTCTCAAATAGCCACTTCTGGTAAAAGATGGCGTTGAAAAAAAAAATTGGCCCAGGTCTTAGGACCTACAAAGCAACTATCTAATCAATTACTAGTTCATCTGAGATTCTAACAACCAAAACCAGATATGATGTGCTCTGTGTGAAATTGCACTCAGGATATAGTATATCTGCATGTTCATGTATTATCACTTTATGAAAACTTGATTAGACTTGTACACTTCCTTGCTTCTCACACATGTATGAACACTTAGAGCAGGAGAAGAGGAATAACAGGTGTTTGATTAAGTAAATTGCTTTTGAGAATATGTAATTCAAATAATTTTGTCTTGCCTAATATTTAAATGTAATAAAATTTATTTTTTAAAGTAAAGATTTTATTAAGGAAATTATTTTTTCAAAATCTCCCCACTGTAAAAACAATTTAAAACCATACACAGATACATTTTTATTTACATATGTGGGTTTTATCTGGGAAATAAAGTATTTCTCTCCCACTTTATTCCATGCTGCAAGTTCTCTCCCCTTAACAAAAGAAATCACATTGTCAGTATAAGGTTCATCATTTCCCAGGGCTTAACTCCCAGGCCTGAACCCCATTTATTCATTCCCTCACTCAGATAAGAAGCATATGCATACAAATCATACTAGAAATCCAGGGTCCTGCCTAAAGTCAAATCAGGGCATGCATACATACACACCCCTTCTGCCATTGAACTACTTTCTTTAAGAAATGAAACACTTAGAATTCAGAAAGCAAGAAAATAAAAAAACACAACAGTCCTCTATATTGACTACTAAACTTACATAGATTAAAATGCATATACCTATAGCACCCCCTGGCCTCCAGAATTAAGGCATTTGATTCAAAGTTTGAGACTACAATTTCTTACAGAGAATTCCTCAGGAACAAAATGAGAGAATAGTGTATTTTAATTGTGTGATTTTTGGTCTCTATAAAGGAACTCTTCAAAGTGATTCCTCAGGAGATTGCAAACCATAATATGCAATTATACAAAATACAAGTGGGAAGAGTTTCTTCTGCCAATCCAGAGACAGAGATTCTACTATGCCCAGTTGGTTATTTTTCCACTTCTTAATTCCAGGTAAGGTTGAGATAACTATGAAAAAGACAAATTAAGAATCTGCAGACCTCCCTCAGACACAATATTAAATGTTCAGGATAATAGAAGGAACAAAAGAACTGAAAACCTACAAGATTTATCAAGTAAATTCTGTTTCTGATTCAATCACAGTGAGACTACAGAAAGCATTGCTATTTTTCCATTAGTAAAAGATGTTGCTAAGGGTACCTGGAGAAATGAACAGGCAAGAGAAGAGATGAAGGAAAAAAAAACAAATATAAACAGCTGGAACCAAAAAAGAAAAAAAATCTCAAGGTGTAGAGAGGGTGCTTTCATTTGAGAAGTTTGATACAAACACCCCTTGAAGTATTGAAAATCACAATTAGGTCACACTGGAACCTTCTTCTGTCCAGGCTGAACAACCCCAATACTCTCAGCCTGTCCTCATCAGAGAGGTGTTCCAGTCCTGTGATTGTTTCTGTGGCCCTCCTCTGACCCACTCCAAGAGATCCACGTTATTTGTCTTTCTTCTTCTATTATTCATATACATAAGTTAATAAACCACCACTATTTATAAGGCTGACTGCCTTTGGCTGAAACTAAGCAAGATGTTTTCCTGAAGCTCTCCTACAACTTAAGGGTTGGCTTAGTCCACAGCATGATAATAATTCAGCTTTTCCAAAGCAAAATCCCCTGAAGCACATCTGCCATGGAGGTAAGGTTCCTCATCACCAGCTGTCTTGCTTTCTGGGCCTGCTGCTATCCTGCTGCACCGCTTGCTAATGTGGGCACATCCACAACGCATAAGCACAGTGTACAGCCGTTATTTCCAGAATAATCAGGCTATATGTGGCCAAAATAAAACATTAATTGTTTGTTTGAACTAAACTAATCGAACACTCCTGATCACCCTAGACTAAGGCCCTTTTTTTTTTCACCAGTATTTTGCCCCCTATAAACTCTGAGTGATGCTTTGCTATTCCTTCCCAAAATTCTACTTTTGTTTTGTTCCCTTGTTGAAATACTGCCTCTACTCTCCATAGTAAAGATGTGTTCCTTTCATTTCTTCACTTTTGTATTCTCAATATTTCAAATTTCTCAGCTGTGGCAGGCTCACTTAGAAGTAAGAAATCTATAAAGACACCATGTGTCTCTTGCTGGATTTCATAAATAGTTTAGCTCTTTATACCCAGCAATATTCAGCTGTCAATTACCTTTACAAAAAACAAATTATTGTGGAATTTCAAAAAGTAATTCATATAAAATATGAAACTCTCTCTTCTGCCCATACAAAAGAATACTCTGAAAAAGTTTACATGTGCATGAATCCAACTGTCTTTACTGTTCACCTAATTCATATAGCTTTGCAGGACAAACTTATATTGAAAGGTGTCAGGGCAAGCCCTCAATAACCTAAGTAACACTACATCTACACTGAATGCACACTTGAGAAAAGTGATAATCTAAGTATAGTAATACTTTGCAGAGCAAAACCAAAATACACTTTCAGGTCTTAAAGGAAAAATATCAGGGGAACAGCAAGGGAGGAAGAGTCAAGAAGCATCTCTCCAAAATGATATATGACATTAAGTTTGTGCTAATGGTATATTCATTATTGAGAAAAATATTTAAATACACACAGGTGTGTGTATATGTGCACACACATATTTACATGTGTGTGTATATATATAAATACATTCATGATAGAATGAAGCCTATGTATTTCACAATACTTGTTCAGACTTAGAGAAGGAAACAGCTATTACCCAGAGGGGAAAAAAAATGTTATTTCAAAGGTAATTACAAAAATTACAGCTTTTTTATTCACTGCTGTCACACAGATATTGTGGCAGTTTGACTGATTTTGAAATGAGAGTAAGTTGCAGAAATCGAAGACTGTTAAATTTAGCTGAATTTTCCTTTTGACTTCTTTGTACTATCTGAAAACACTTCTTCAACCAAATCCTTCTTTGAACTGTGAAA